CCCTCCTCCCCCCTCCCCTCTCCTCCTTTTGAATCATCAAGGATCCTCTCTTCAGCTCATGGACCATTCTTCTTAAAGCCATCCTGATCTACCGGCTTTGTCCCTTCCCTTGTCACTGGTGGGCTCAGTGCATGATGCTCTCTTTCTGTTTGCAAAAAGTCAGGTTCTGTCCAAAGATTTCCACCTCAACCACAATGAGTTAAGGTCCACTTATCTCTCTTGTTCATCTGTTTTCATGCCAGTGATACTTCTTTTGTTTCAATTACAAAGCTCTTGGCAACTCATACATGTCGCTGACCCCAGGGGCTGCAGTGCTGTCCAAGGTAACTCACTTCTCTTTTGGAAAAACTCTGTATGAGCCTCGCACTTCTGTGTTGAGTGCACTTGGGAAATATTCCTCATCTCCCCAGTACTGTATCATGTCTTTCTCTCTTTCCACCTCTGTGCTGTCTTTACTCCTTGTTGGGGTACACATAGGTTCACATGTGGGTTATACATGACCTATTCCAAGACTGCTCATGTGCTACTTAAAAAGCATCACTATCCTTGCATGTTAAGCAAACTTTGGAAACTTGCATCATCTTTTGAATGAAATGTAAATAATTCATTCTGAATTGTCATATACTGAGCTAATACTGGGGATTTTCCATACACACACAAATACACACACAACTAAAAGTTTCAAACTAAAGGTTATTTTCTGTATATTGATAACATAAGATCAAATCCATTGTCTGATTTTCCCTTTTCACTTAGAACCTATCACTGTTGACCATTTTCTCATACCAAAAAGATGTATCTACAACTCATACACAGTTTTGGCCATGCATAGCCATTTTTGGTTACTCTCAAATCAGTCTTCAGCAAAGCTGAAGGACTCTCATTATTTTCCAAACACCAAATCATCTTTCCATCCAACATGGAGGGATATAATAGCTAGACTTCTAAGGAGGAAAAAGTTAAGCTATAGCCTACCTTTCTTGGTTCGTTTCAGATATAGTCACGTTCTCCCCTCTCAATGTTTGGAAGGATGGAGGGGAGGGGAAGGCAGTTTCTGGGAAACCAAGCCCAGAGGTGTAGGCAAGAGAGAATGAGATAATGGCAGAGGAGAGAGTATTGTCAGCATCACAGAGCAGATAGAGGAAGAAGACTGGGGGCCAAGGGCACAGGTGACACCTGTGGGAAGGTTGTTTAAAATCTTTGTGTCTAGATTTTCTCATCTATAAAACAAGAACAGTAATGTCACTCTCCCAGGAGTTTGGGGGATTAGAAGAGATCACTAATGCATAAGCCAGCACCCGAGTTCTGGGAAGAGGTGGCTCTGGGAAAGAGGTCATCTTTGGTCCCATGCTTCAGCCTGCCTGAGTTCCCAAAACATCCCGTCTGGTCTCTCAAAAGGCCCAGAATATCTCCCCAGTGTTCAAATATATTGTTGATGTTCACCTTACAATATGGAAATGTTGACCCCCCCCCACTCTGATTTCCATTTTCTTCCATTAGTTTCTTTTCCGTTAGCTTCCCCCCTTAGTCTTAAGGAAGAACTCAACAATGAATGGGCCACAGAAGCCCAGGTGTCTAGTCTTTTCTGGGCCCTGGAGACCAAGTTCACAAGCAGGGGAAGAAGTAGATGAAAATCATGTCTCAGCATACGTCAAATTGCAAATGACATTTCCTGTGGACATGACAGAGGTTTTGAAGTGTCTTCATGAAACACCTTCCCTTGGAAGGGATATCCCATCCTCACAGCCAAATTTCAATAAGCAGCTGCCATACCTGAAGCTTTTTCCATGTCTAAGACTTTTTGACCATCCATTTCTTTGCTCCCTGAGGTTGGGACTATGAAATAGTTAATTGCAATCAAGAGATGCTCTAGTGAGTTCCATGAGCGTCCCCACCTCCTCAGGCTTCATAGAGCTTGAGGCACAGAGTAGGGGCAGGAGAAAAGCACTCGGTCTGAGTTGATGGTGATAAGAAACTATGTGAATGTGACTTCTCTATCGTAGGACGGGATGAAGTTGTGTGTTTTTTTAATCTCATATTTCATGCAGGGCTGGGCTGAGGATGTGGCAGGCATGGCATATGCCCTACGTTCACTACCAGAGGGGGCTCCCTGCCTGCCACAGGTGAGAGCCAGCTCTGGGGTGCCTGCCCCAAAGGGGAAAGGGGGTGGAGGGACCTGGTGGGGAGGGGTGGGCGATTTGTCCACCTTTGCTGGTCCCCAGGAGGACTCTGCCACAGAATCCAGAACCTCCTGTTATGAATTTAATTCTCTTAGATCATAACTGAAATTGCAACAGAGTAAACCCTTATATTGGTTGATTTTTATGGTGCATGCTCTTCTCTGGAACACTGTACAGGAGTATAAAGTGTACATATGCAAATGTCTGGAAAACCTGAGCCTACCTGTATTCCGTTAAATGAATCTGAATACTTTATGGTTCTGATACTGCAAGTACATTTCTCTAAAGAGCCTTAGATGTGTTCCACTAAGGCCAACGACTGCCAACCCAAAACAAATTGTATGCTTACTTTATAAATTAGACATTGAATTATGGCCCTAGGTATGATATTATATATTTCGATTTTTTAAATTTTACAATTTTCACCCTCTATCTTCGATGTCATATTTACCTCTCCTCACCCCCTACCATTTTCTGACTTACTTCCTCCTAATTATTCAGCAAACAACTTAATTGACAGTACTTTCTGTAACTTATCTCTCTGCCCCACCTCCAAATTCAAGTCTCTTTTTAAAAAGTCACCTGTACTCTACCTTTTATCGTTTTCTACTATTCCCAGGATTTTTTTTTTTATTCCTCTTGATGTCAATAGCCAGCCCTTCCTGTCCCAGACCTCCATATCTTAAAGTACCAAGTATAGACACCACACAAATGGCTTCCTAACTCAGGGGCTGAGAAAGCTGGCACCAGCGCAATGAAGAGTGGTTAACTGATTAAAGTTGAAACCTTTATCCTATGTTGGAGACAAAAATAAAGTTAAAATGTTTAAATACATGTCTAACACACTCAACCCATTCTACAATGAGGTCTTGATCATCCAACCTTTTTGGCACCTGTAGACGGCAGTGTGAAAACCCACACGTGCTGTTGGCTTGTAGGGGTTCCACCCCAGCTCCTAATGTCTTTGCTTCCCCTCATTTGCAGTGGTCGGTATATATCCGAGCTGCTGTCCGGAAAGAGAAAGGCCTGCCCATCCTTGTGGAGCTGCTGCGGATAGACAATGACCGAGTGGTGTGTGCAGTGGCCACGGCACTCCGGAACATGGCCTTGGACGTCAGGAATAAGGAGCTCATTGGTATGTTCCCTCCGATTCACAGTGTCTGCATTTTTCTAAAATTGAAGTACCCTGTACTTCCTGTGGTTGAATCCATGTGCAGGATGTATATACGTGTACAGAAACAGAGCATGTGTTAGAGGCCTTGCTTTTCCAGCTCTCCTTCTAGCGGAAATCAGTGCGCTAATTTATCTTTTAGAATTTAGAGGAGAATGCGATGTTTGTTGACATTTCTAATCTTTGCAAATTAAAAATGACCGCAGTGCTCAGCACTGGATACCATCGTCCTGATCCTCAAAATCCTTGTCAGGCTGTTTGTTTGCTTTCCACGTTGTGAACTGGAATTCTAATGGGATACAGGCCATTTTTCTTCCTCTCTCTATGTTAAAATTTACTTTGGATTAGACTATACTGGCTCTTTAATCCTATTTTTAAAGAATCATCTCCCTTTAGTTTGGTGCTCAAGAAATAGGGAGGCTCTTTTATTAATGAAGCATTAAAGAGGCATACATTCACCTATTCAACAAATTTTTGTCCATGACCTACTTTGTTCCAGACCTGTTCTAGGCCCAGAGATGATATCAAAGCAGCCAGGAAGCCTTGCCCTGGTGGAGTTTACATTCTGAAGAGGGGAGATGTACAGCCAACAAAATACACACATGAATCCCACGGTGTGGTAGAAACTTTCTATGGGGGAAAATGGAGCTGGGTCAGGCACAATGTAATTGGTGAGGTTGCGATTTTTTTTCAGTGAAGTGAAATTTACATAACATAAAATTAACCACTTTAAAATGTACCATTTAGCATTTTGGCGACGTTGTACAACCAGTACCTATGTCAAGGTCCAAAATATTTCCATCCCCCTAAGGAAAGCCCTGTACCCATTAAGTGGTCATCCCCCAATTCCCCTTCCTCCCAGCTCCGGCAGCCACCAGTCTGCTTTCTATGGATTTTCCTATTCTGGATATTTCCTATAAATGGAATCACACAAGACGTGAGCTTCTGTGTCTGGCTTCTTTCACTTAGCGTAAGGGGTTGTGATTTTAAATGAGAGGTCAAAGTCAAAATAGGAGATGTTGGGAAGGTAACATTTGAGCAGAAGCTTGAGGGAGGTGAAACAGGGCCCTGTGGCTCTCTGGGGGGAAGAGCACCTAACTGAAGGAGCAGCCTCTGCAGACAGCCTCCCAGAAGGGGATCTGGAAGCAGGTGGTTGGGTTCAAGGCCTTTGCAGGGCCTGGTGTGCCTGGTGCAGAGTGACTGGTGGGAGCCCAGGCTGGAGAGACCTTCTGGTTCCTCCCTCTGTAACTGGGAGGATGCCCACCCAGCCCAAGGTCGATTGACGCTGGGAGAGTGATGAACCACAGGGACCTGCCCGGGGAGAGGCACAGCCTCCGCAGATACCACTGTCCTCCTGGGGTCGAAGATATGACTCTGGTGGGGTGGTTGATCAGTGCAGCATGAAGCTTGCCCACAGGTAGCAGGTATCAGCAGAGGTCAGGCAGCAGGGAGCTGGACCACCCATTGTGGCAAAGGTTCTGGTTATATAGCTTCTGGGGGATTTGGGAAAAGCAGGTGAGAGCGGGCAAAGGGGGAAGATTCCATTCCTGGGGCAGTTGGAGTACCAGGCGTGGGTCCAAGTCTCATACAAATTATGCATAGATACAACGGTCTACCTCCACTATCCAAATTCCTGAACGTGGCGTACCAAGCCCTTCATGACCTGGGAGCCAGCCACTTTTCTCCTGCCGTTTCACAATACCCATCATATCCTCCAATAAATACCAAAGTATTTGCAGGTCTCCAAGCCATTTATTTATTCACAGGGACCAGATTTCAAATCTGCGTCTAATAAATGCAATTATTTGTTATGCTTGCAGTACATCATAAGGCATGACATAAACTCACAATTTTATAATTATACTTAGTTTGAATTTAATTTAAATGGTGGTGGTGGATGTTACATATTTAAACTACACTATTAGCCCTCTCCATATCCACTTTCCTTTTCCTTGCATAGGTGTTTTAGACAGGACAGAGCTGGGACTTGTAATCAAATGCTAGGGCTCCTCTACAAAATGCAGGGAAAATCAATAGCTAATCAGTCTACTGCTTGGGTATGAACTACTAGGTGTTGTGCATTTGGGTGTTTTATTTCTTTTGGTGGATTAAAATATAACAAAATAGGGAACTATTGATTGGTTTTCTAGCTTCAAGGCATCTCTTCTTTCCGAGAAGCCAGTTATCTAGAACTGTCTCTGAGGCAGGAACATTTGGAAGTCCATATTGCCCATGTTAAATTAAGCCTTTACTATCAAATGTCACCAGACAGGAAAGGGAACCAAACGTTTAAAAATAGGAGTGAAAATATCTCAGCTTTATGGAGTCAATAACTTTTTTCTTGAGTAAGAAAAGCAGAATTGAACCAAAAAACACTCTTCTATTCTATCTAGGAGAAAGGAAATGTGACCTTTGCTAACTCTTTTGCTTTAAATATTGTATCAAAGTAGTGGTTCTTTATAAGAAGGTGCTCTACAGAACTTTATATATTGAAAAAAAAGCTGCAACGACTTTGAACCAAGAACAAAGACAAAATTAAAGTTGGACTTTTCTATCAACTCTCAATCAAAGCTTTGGTGACCTCGTATGGTTTCCTGGTGCTAAAGATCATTTATATTCTGAAAACTCCCAGATAGATACCTCTGGTATGAATCTCACATCTCTGTATCCAATAGTCTGTCCACCACCTGCACCAGATATCTGACAGGCATCTCAAGTAAAACACCTCCAGACCTGAGTTCCTTGTCTTTTCCTCCAAAACCAATCTTTCTGCAGGCTTCCGCATGGCAACCTGTCCCTGCAGTGGTCCAGGATAAGCACCTTGCTGTCCCCTTTGATTCTTTACTCTCATATCTAGTCCATCAACAAATGGACTGTTGGATTTGGATTGCTAGTATTTTGTTGAAGGTTTTTGCATCTATGTTCATCAGTGATATTGGCCTGTAATTTTCTTTCTTTGTGGTATCTTTGTCTGGTTTTGGTATCAGGGTGATGGTGGCCTCATAGAATGAGTTTGGGAGTATTCCTTCCTCTGCAATTTTTTGGAATAGTTTCAGAAGGATAGGTGTTAGCTCTTCTCTAAATGTTTGATAGAATTCACCTGTGAAACCGTGAAACCGCTTTAGGTGTAAGGTTAGGTTGTTTATTTGTGATTTTTCTTGTTTCCTGAGGTAAGATTGTATTGCTATGAACTTCCCTCTTAGAACTGCTTTTGCTGCATCCCATAGGTTTTGGATCGTTGTGCTTTTGTTTTCATTTATCTCAAGATATTTTTTGATTTCCTCTTTGATTTGTTCAAAAAAAAATTTTTTTTAAGATAGTAGCACTAAAGTAGTGTCACATACTCTGCCTCTCCTTGTCTTTCCACTTGGGCTATTTCCATGGTTCTGTGTATGTCTCTGCCATCAGGTGATAAGTAGGCTACAGGTAGATCTTTGTGTTCTTCCAAATGACGTCGTGCAGTGGTCCAGGTGAATGCACATCCATCCATTTCTTTGCAGGCTTCCAAAAATGTTAATTATCCTTCTGCATAACGTGTTATTTCGTCATTCAGAAAGAGGTTTTTTTTTTGTGGTACGCGGGCCTCTCACTGTTGTGGCCTCTCCCGTTGCGGAGCACAGGCTCCAGACGCGCAGGCTCAGCGGCCATGGCTCACGGGCCCAGCCGCTCCACGGCATGTGGGATCTTCCCAGACGGGGGCACGAACCCGTGTCCCCTGCATCGGCAGGCAGACTCTCAACCACTGCGCCACCAAGGAAGCCCAAGAGGTTTTTTTTTAATGGTAATAATTAGCTTCAGAGAAAAGAACAAACAACACTGTATTGTTCTAATAAGTTTACCAAGATGCCATCCATTTCAGCACATTGACAGTTCCTGATGAAGATGGCAGGTATTTCTTTTCTGGATTCCCTATCCTCTCTGCCAACAAGCAAACAAACAAAACTAACAAAATAAAAAACTTCAAACACCTAGGAACACTGGACAGGAGAAGTACTGGGTGGTGTTACCAAATGGCCTCTCATCCCTAACCACTCTTTCTGATGAAGTATTCAGCCAGACCGGTTTTTGTACCATCATCCCCACTCACAAACCCGTACCCAAACTGTGTCCCTCCCTGGCATGGTCTTTCATCTCTGTGCATTTACTCACCCCCCCAGCCATCACTCAGAGCCCAGCTCTAGGTGGCCTTCCTGATGAGCACTGCTCCTTGAACACAGAAAGGAGGTGGGTAATACCTACTTGATAAAAAATCTTTTAATTTATCTTGGATTTCCATTATTTAATTTTATTTTTGTGTTGTCTTTTTTTGTGTGTATGCATTGCATTTCCCCCCAATGAAATAAGAAGCAGGAATCAGGTTCCATATTTATTTGTATGTCCTACCATGCCTAGCCCTTTGCTATGCTCAGTACATATTTGCTGAACTAATTCTCTGATGGGAGAATAACACGGGTTTTTTATTCTGGAGAACAGATCTAGAGGAGGTTTGGGGAATCCCACAAAAAGAGAAGGAGGGGTAGAGGGGAGGTCTGTTTCAGCCTCTTTCCACAGCATCCAGGGAAGAGAGGAAAGAAAGAGAGCTCGGATGCTGCCTGAAATCCTGGACTCTAGTCAAACTCATTCTGCTGCCACTTTGGAAGAGGTTTGGGATTGGGCAGGAATTAGTAACACTTTCTGCCTATGCCCAGATAGCTATCAGAGATTGGCAGAGCCACTGCACCCCTGCGGGTGGCATTGGCAGAGCTCACAGGGCACCCTCCCTCCACTTCCCTGGGTGGTGGCTACATGCCACATTTTCCAGCAGGCGAGCCAGGGCTGGGGCGCTGGAAGCATCCTCCCGGCTGCCTCACTCCCCTCCCCGGACTGAAGAGAAGGACCTTCCACTGCTTTGTGAACCTGGCCCTTCCTTCCCCAGCTCATCTCATTCCTTTAGCCATGTCCTCTCTGCCCTGTGTGACCCTTTC